GTACCCACTATTAGTATTCTTCTCCCAGACAGATTCATTGTAATTGTCATGACTCCGTTTCAATAAGGGTCACACCATAGGGCCAAGCAGGTCTAATACATGTAATGTGATGGGTCAAAGTACTATGCTAATGAGCTAAAAGAAAGAAACAGCTGACATCATTTGTAGAATAAACCATCCAGGTACTAAGAAAGGGGCAGAATGTAATCAGGAAGACAGTGCAATATCATATTTCGAGGAAGAAAAAAGGACCCATCCAGTACATCAGAAAGGAATACTGGCATATTGAGTCAACACCATGCTGAGAGTAATATGGAACTAAAAGAGAATTCCTAAAAACCCATCTGTCGGTGTCAGTCAGAGACCAGTCTCAAGAAGGAGTAGAAACATGGTGGGTAATGAACAGGCAGACAGATTGGCTGAATCTGCACCACTGGATGGTGAATTGATACATGACTAGGCAGATGTGGTCAAGGCCCTTTGGGAGCAAGCAATGAAATCAGTAGAGATAGAAGATTGTTATGGCCTGGAGAGAATGAGGCCAGATACACTCAGAGGAAAGGCAAGACGGACATATAACCAGATTGTCACGGGTACCATCAGTATTGGAACTCTGCGCTGGCTGCTGAAGATGAGGACGGAGCATGCATGGGAATGTCCTGAGTTCTGTGATGTCAGTTCTTGACTCAACTCAACTAACTCAAGCAGAAGTAGAAGAAAACTATCCAGAAAAGCAGACGGAATATCTTCACTTTGTCCCAAAATATAAACATAGCCAACTGACACCAGCTAGTGATAGAGTTCTATTAGTTATTACTTATAGTGGATTGTGTCTTTATTGATGTTGGTGTAATCAAGATAACTAACAAAGAAACATATTTTAATAGAATAACAACATTGCTCCTTTGTGATTATTTTATCTGTTATTCAGTTGTTAAAATAATGTTAAAGATTGTGAGACTGTTGTAGAAGTAGTACATTTTACCCCACTAGGAAGGACATCACACAAGCGATAAACACCGGATGACACAAAGTGCCACCATGTGGATGAGGATCACCTGTGGAGAGGTCTCGGAAACCGCATTCAGCCATTAGGCTATATTTATGGCTGGGCTATATTGCGGCCCCTGGCAAGAGCCAGAGTGGGGCTTCAAAATAACGAAAAATTGCATCCCACAAGGGATGACGGAGATGTTTTAGACTGTTACTGTTTAATGGTGATGATAAACAAACAGTTTTGATATAATTTAAATACACAAGCTGAGGATAAGGAGCAGTCTTGATGTAACGACTGGACATTCACATGCGGATGTAAAGGTCATGGGTTTCAATCTGAATGGAGCAGGACTGTTTTCAGAAATGACCTTACCTCCCAATGGTTACCGTCCTGGGAAGTAAAGGTGGCTGGTGTGATGCTGATGACCTCACCCAACAGGTGCCAACAGGTCTATAAATTATAGGCCTAGCTCTGTTTGCCCGGTATGCCTGAAGACGGGGGAAAGGGTTGTTTACTTTTACTTTACAAGCTCAGGTTATTGAAGAGACAGTGCAAACCAACTTGATCTCAGAAAGGGCAATCTCTACCAGTACACACTTGAGCACAGAGATCGCCCACCATTTTACTAAGTGTCACTTACCTCCCCTACAGTAATATGTTTTCTAGCCTTCGGCAGTGTTTCCTAAACTTTTCTTTGTTACGGCGCCTTTTTTCAATGAAGATTTTTCCGCCGCGCCCTAACCTAAGTATAAGTATGACTATTCGTATGTAAGAGATCAAAACAAATTAAACTTGTGTATCTTCGAATATTTTGTGACGCCCGTGTGAAGAGGTCGGGGCTCCTGGTGGTGCAGCGGCGCACAGTTTGGGAATCACTGGCCTATGGTGTTCCATCATTCATCCATAAAACCATATATGTGCAGCTTTTACATAATTTTTCTCTGATGATTGAATGTCTGTGATAATTTGTGTACATCTTGTGCATCTTTTTTTTTAGTGTAACAAGTAGAAAAAAAATTTAGCATTTTCTATACTTTTAACTGTTTACAGGTTTATCTAAGTTGTCTTTATTCTTTGGACTTCACAAATTGATGTTAGGATTTTGACTTTAAATGCTTAATCTTACATGTAAACAAGAGTTACTGCAAAAGAATACAAAAACATGATAATGAGTAAGTTATTTTATGACATTAATTACATAGTATATGAATTATGCATTGGTACTGCGGAAGGTTGAAATGGACATATGTGGCATGACTGGATACCAAGATTCAGTATGTAAACATTACAGGGATTCACGTGGATTTACTGTCTGGGATATGCAGGATTTGAGTAATGAAAAAGTGGCTTTTCTGGCTTCAAAAGCGGTAGGTACAGGAACACTTGTACTGAAGAAAGGGGACATTCTGAAGACCATATATCAAGGAATGCTGACAGAAGACACAAGGTTAGATGAAATAGTGTGTGTAAGAATGTGTGAACTAAGAATGATAAGCATCTACACCTTAAGAAATTTGCTGCGGGAGACAGAGCACCTATGTTATTGCCTGGTGTGCTGTGATGTTGATTCTTAAATCAATATGCATCTTTTAAAATATCTCAGCAGGTAAAGGTAGTTTAAATTATATTTGCTTACACTCATAGTCATTAACTTTTTGTCTCTGCAGGCTACTATATCCTAATAGTTGTGCTGTTTATTGCTATTGTTGTAATTGTTGCTGTGCCTTACCATGGAAAGCCTTAGTACACTACAAGCTGCACTATCATTTCAAGGTTTTCCACCAGGTAAAAAACTTTTCATTATGTATTGCTTTTCTAGAAAGTTTTTTTTTTCTTTTTAGAACATATTCTTTTCAAGAAAATATGTTTCAATTATGTAATAAATGCCAATAAGTAAAGTTAAAAAAAAAAGAAAGATCCCTTTTCACGCCTTTAGGCTTATGGGAATATAGAGAAGCACCCATATTTTTACAGACTAATCGGAACTAGGGGGTAATGTGGTCAGCATTACACCGGCCGTCTTTACTTGCCCAGGACATACATTCTGGTACCCATTTTAGACTGGGTTGACCTGCGACGCCCCATCACATGATAAAATACACGCAGCCAGCAGTAGGTTTCGATTGCAGTACGTTGTAATTATGAGTCGGACTCGCAACACCCAAGCCACGATACATACCAAAAAGTATTTCTTTTAAACATGTTTTATTTACCAAATACATTTTTTAAAAATTGACTGTATTTTATAAACAATTTATCATCTTTCAGAAAGTATGTTTTTTTTCTCCAGAAAGTAGTTTTTCAGTTGTGTATTCTTTTCCAGATAGTATTTTTTCCCCCGGTATGTATTATTTTCCAGATAGTATTTTTTCGCCCGGTATGTATTCTTTTCCATATAGTATTTTTTCCCCCGGTATGTATTATTTTCCAGATAGTATTTTTTCCCCCGGTATGTATTCTTTTCCAGATAGTATTTTTTTCTCCCGGCATGTATTCTTTTCCAGATAGTATTTTTTCCCCCGGTGTATATTCTTTTCCAGATAGTATTTTTCCCCCCGGCGTGTATTCTTTTCCAGATAGTATTTTTTCCCCTGGTATGTATTATTTTCCAGATAGTATTTTTTCCCCCGGTATGTATTCTTTTCCAGATAGTATTTTTTCACCCGGTATGTATTCTTTTCCAGATAGTATTTTTTCACCCGGTATGTATTCTTTTCCAGAAAGTAAAGGACCCTTTTCCCCGTCTTCAGGCGTATTGGACATATAGGGCCAAACCTGTATTTTATAGACCAATTGGTACTCGTTAGCTATCATCACGCCGACCACCTTTAATTCCCAGGACTATATCCGTTGCACATTTAAGGCTGTGTCCACAAGGGAGCCAAGGTCAATTAAAAAAAAAGACAGCTTCCGTCAGGACCCAAACCCACAACCTTCCGATCCACAGGTGAATGTTTAGCCACTACACTCTTTTCTAGAAAAGTATTTTTGTTTTATATATTGATGATGTAAAAGGTGACTAATTAGGAGTGTTTCCTTCACATTCAGATGGCATCTGTGTGCTTTAAAAATGAGGGACCAACAGTCTGCCTACAGATAAGCCAGATCTGTAACAGTGGATGTGCATGCAAAGCTCAAGTTCTGGAGCAAGACCAAAGCCAGAACTTTCCACCAGAGTTTACAGCTGATGGACACTAAGAAGAAGAGAGAGGATCGACTTCATTACACTGGGTTTTATCTTATATGGCTCAGTTTCTCTCCGCAGTACTGTCAGGAGCCCACAGAGAGCACCGAACTCCGTAGTTCTGGTGACGATCCCCAGGGATCTTTGTAAAAATTGCACTTGTGAACTGAGAGACTGTTCATTCCAAGCCATTCTGACTCTGGATATGGCCAAACATGGCCAGATTGCTGCTTGCAAGCCAGTTCTCCTCTGTGTTCGTATCTTTGAGAGTCTTCTAATAAGTAAAGAACCCTTTTCCACACATTCAGACATGTTGTTGCATATAGGGTTAGACCTATATTTTGTAGACTCAGTAGGTAATGTCGTCAGCATCTTGCCGGCCACTTTTACTTTCTAGGACTGTATCTTGTACCCATTTAAGTCTGGGTCGACCTGGGAGCCAAGGTTATTTTAATCTCTTCCTAGTAGCGTTTTTAAATTAACACCCTCAGTCTCACAGGTTTACTTCAGTAACAATTTAGAATATCAGTTTCAAGCTTCATCTGTCTGGGATAGAATGAGATGTATACAAGAATGAGACAGGGATAAGGGTGGGGTCCATCATTTCTAGATACCTAGACAACAGCAGATCAAAAATGAAATATTTGTTGAGAGATGAATTATACGTTAGAGTAGTTGATTATAGCCATAGCAGCATTGCAAAAGATGAAGAATATTTCATATGACATTTATCCTATCGATTGTGCTAATGCAGCATAATATAAAGTATGTCAGGATGGCCGAGTGGTCTAAGGTACCAGACTCAGGGTTTATACATAACCTTCTCTGTCTCAGGGAGGTGAATGTTCTGGTCCATGAATGTGGGCATGGGTTCAGATCCCACTTCTGGGCCGCTTTAGTTTCATCAATGGGAGACTTTAAAATCCAGCTGCGTCTGGCTACAGCCCACGGCAGGTGTTTGAAAACCAGTTCCTGGGGTTCACCCAGCCTCTAGGTAATGGGTACCAGAGTTAACACTCTGGGGTAAATGGAGGAACGTCGCTGTAGCTATGGAGTTGCGTAAGGACAGTGACATAGGCTGGCACATCACATCTACTGACTTTACCTGTACCTTTTTAATATAAAGTTGGATATTTTAGAGCCATGCTGTGATGTGGTTCTTTATCTGACAATGAGTTATTTAAAAGAAATCTAACAAGGAGTTCTTTAGAAGAAATCTGACAAGTGATTCTTTAGAAGAAATCTGACAAGTGGTTCTTTAGAAGAAATCTGACAAGTGATTCTTTAGAAGAAATCTGACAAGGGGTTCTTTAGAAGAAATCTGACAAGTGATTCTTTAGAAGAAATCTGACAAGTGGTTCTTTAGAAGAAATCTGACAAGTGATTCTTTAGAAGAAATCTGACAAGGGGTTCTTTAGAAGAAATCTGACAAGTGATTCTTTAGAAGAAATCTGACCAGGGGTTCTTTAGAAGAAATCTGACCAGGAGTTCTTTAGAAGAAATCTAACAAGGGGTTCTTTAGAAGAAATCTAACAAGGGGTTCTTTAGAAGAAATCTAACAAGGAGTTCTTTAGAAGAAATCTGACAAGTGATTCTTTAGAAGAAATCTGACAAGGGGTTCTTTAGAAGAAATCTGACAAGCGATTCTCTAGAAGAAATCTAACAAGGGGTTCTTTAGAAGAAATCTGACCAGGAGTTCTTTAGAAGAAATCTAACAAGGGGTTCTTTAAAAGAAATCTAACAAGGAGTTCTTTAGAAGAAATCTGACCAGGAGTTCTTTAGAAGAAATCTAACAAGGGGTTCTTTAGAAGAAATCTAACAAGGAGTTCTTTAGAAGAAATCTGACCAGGAGTTCTTTAGAAGAAATCTAACAAGGGGTTCTTTAGAAGAAATCTAACAAGGAGTTCTTTAGAAGAAATCTGACCAGGAGTTCTTCAGAAGAAATCTAACAAGGGGTTCTTTAGAAGAAATCTAACAAGGGGTTCTTTAGAAGAAATCTAACAAGGGGTTCTTTAGAAGAAATCTAACAAGGGGTTCTTTAGAAGAAATCTAACAAGGGGTTCTTTAGAAGAAATCTAACAAGGGGTTCTTTAGAAAAAAATCTAACAAGGGGTTCTTTAGAAGAAATCTGACAAGGGGTTCTTTAGAAGAAATCTGACAAGTGGTTCTTTAGAAGAAATCTAACAAGGGGTTCTTTAGAAGAAATCTGACAAGTGATTCTTTAGAAGAAATCTGACAAGGGGTTCTTTAGAAGAAATCTGACAAGGGGTTCTTTAGAAGAAATCTGACCAGGGGTTCTTTAGAAGAAATCTGACAAGTGATTCTTTAGAAGAAATCTAACAAGTGATTCTTTAGAAGAAATCTAACAAGGGGTTCTTTAGAAGAAATCTAACAAGGGGTTCTTTAGAAGAAATCTAACAAGGGGTTCTTTAGAAAAAAATCTGACAAGGGGTTCTTTAGAAGAAATCTGACAAGGGGTTCTTTAGAAGAAATCTGACGATTCTTTAGAAGAAATCTGACCAGGGGTTCTTTAGAAGAAATCTGACCAGGGGTTCTTTATAAGAAATCTGACAAGTGGTTCTTAGAAGAAATCTGACAAGTGGTTCTTCAGGAAGAAGAATGTTGAAGATGGCAAGAAAGGAGGAGGAGATGAAAAGGGGAGGTCATACACAATGACTGATTAAGGGTTTGTTGAAACAAGATGTATTAGGCTGAAAACACATAAATCGTAGCCTAGCTGTGAAACACAAGACAAGATGCCAACCGCCTTTTAAGAGCAAACACAGAAGAAGACAAAGGAAGAAGCTGATATTCTTTTTCTTTGGCCATATCAAATGCCAGAATGGTTTGGGGGGAAAAAAGCTGTAATGAAGGGTATAATTTCTAGATGAAAGGTGCAGGGATTGACCATTACGATGGTGGGGAAGGAATATCAAGAACACCCTGGGCATGGAAGTTCATAAGGTGGGAAAGCTAGGAAGGAAGTGACAAACCTGGCAAGGAAGTTGCAACCTGGCAAGAAAGTGGCAAACCTCAGTGAGAACAGTGTTCTGCTGCTACATGAAGATAATAATGATGAGCTTGAAACTAATCGTAGAAATATTTTTTTTCTTTTTTTTTTTTCAGAAATACAACTGTTGTACATTCTACCATGGCATCATATGCAGCATTCAGGAACATCCAAAGGGTGGAATGCATTTCAGAACTTGTGTAGGTCATCAGCACTGTTATTTTTTCCGTTGTGGACAATTTGCTTACATATTTCTTTATTGTACATCAGTTTGCAGCTACTTGTTTATTTTATATAATATTTATACGGCCTCAAGCAATTCCCCCCTCATTTTATTTATGTAAACTGTTGGTAGCGGATCCATTGTGAATTATTTTTTTTTCTTCTTATTTTCTCTTTCAGTGTATGTTCTAGGGCCCAGTTTGGCAAAGACAGAAGAGACCCATTAGCCCCTTTAAAACCATGTCAGGAACCTTATTATGGATATTTCCTTCATCTGCCCGAGAGGCAAAGAGCCAACAGTCTGCATACAAATAAGCTAGATCTGTGA